ACCCCCTGGATCTCCCCCAACCCTGCCTGGCCCCCACAGGCGTCCCTCCCATGAGCAACATCGAGGTGATCACGCCCAACTTGCCCAATCTGCCATGACCACCACAGCCACCCAATCTGCCATGACCACCACAGCCACGCCCACCCAGTGGGCCACACCCACCTGGCACCCGGTGATAAATAAGTGGGTTTTGGGTTGCAGTTTGGGCACTCGGTCTCTAAAAGGTTCACCATTACTGGTCTAGGACAAGGGTAGGCAACCTTGGCTCTTTTATGACTCGTGGATTTCAACTCCCAGAATTCCTGAGCCAGCATGGCTCAGCTTGGAAACCTCTCCCTTTCCCCTCAGCATGGCTGGCTCAGGAATTCTGGGAGTTGAAGTCCACGAGTCATAAAAGAGCCAAGGTTGCCTACCCCTGGCCTAGGAGATCTCAAACTGAAAATCAAGATCCCACTAGGAACCCCAAATTATTTATAAGGGAGGTGCAAGAGAAAATATAAGAGAAAAAGAGAGTGCTTCAAAATAGGGCAAATGAAGAACAAATGGATATTTTGTCTGATAAAAAAGCCAATTGCTTTTCAATTAAGCCAATACTTCCCAAAGTAGGATACATTACTCTAACTTGGATAAAAAATGGATTTTTCTTTGGGTAACGACGCACAAACCCATTACCCAATCACAACAGGGACGTTTAAAGATTGCCATTTGGTATATTTTGTATATATGTACACATGCATACAGGTGGTCCTTGACTTACAACAGGTCATTTAGTGACCAGAGTTATACGACAGTGAAAAAAATTGACTTACGACCATTGTAGCATCCCCATGGTCATATGATCAAAATTCAGACCTGTGGCAACTGGTTCATATTTATGACCTTTGTGGTATCCCAAAGTCAGGTGATCCCCCTTTTGCGACCTTCTGACAAGCAAACCCAATGGGAAAGCCAGATTCACTTAACAACTGATCAATTGCAGGGATTCACTGAACAACGGATGCAAGAAAAGTAGTGAAATGGAGCAAAATTCACTAAACAGGTGTTTCACTTAACAACAGAAATTTTGGGCTCAATTGTGGTTGTAAGTTGAGGACTACCTGTATTTGAAAATACCGAAGTATTCCTCTTAAGGGGAAAATCAATGAACTTACCAATGGTAACTGAAATGACATGAAGATCACTCAGTGATATTGTTCTGTATATTATAATATGGACTACTGTAATGCTCTATACATGGGGCTCCCCATGAGGAGCATCCGGAGGCTTCAGCTGGTCCAGAATGCGGCCGCGCGGGCGGTGTTGGGAGCGACGCGTTGCTCCCATGTAACGCCGCTGCTGCGCGAGCTGCACTGGTTGCCAGT